TCACATTGTTACCATGTCCACCAAGATCTTCTGACTTATCCCCAATTGAGCACGTGTGGGATATGATGGGTAGGAGATTGCTCAATTTGCAACGTCCTCCTCAGACTCTAGAAGCACTTCGAGAGGAGTTGGCGGTTGCCTGGAATGAGATACCACAGGAGGACATTGACCACCTGATCAGAAGCATGCCTAGGCGCGTTGGAGAATGTGTAGCACATCAGGGTGCATCCACACATTATTAAAGGTCAAAGGGCTTTAAAGCAGTGCAATCATTTACTTATTATGCTTCATTAAGTACTTATACAAAATTTTATTAAAATAAAACCATTTAAACTTCGGATTTATATGTCACTTAGTACAATTTACTGGATATGTGTGTACGTGTCTATCACATCTGCAAATATTCAAATAAATCACACTATGCCATTCTACAAGAGAGATATTTTTTGAACCGAAAAGGCTTAATGGGAGCCTATTACGCATTAGCTTATAGCCACATAACTCACACCATTATCGTATGTACCACCATTGTATCTAAGCGGTCAATAAACGGATGAATGATATTTGTCCAGATTTGTCTGGGAAGTACAATCAGCAGAAAATGAATGTGATCAGTTATAAGATCATAACAACCAATATTTCAGCTCTATATAGTAACCATGGTAACAGTGTTGTTCAATGTTGTCAGTGTGAAAAATTCATAACTTATATTAACTAAGCCCCCAAATTGATACAAGATGTGATGAAAATGAAAATGTTTCCAGATGACTCTTGACTCCGTGCTCAGTCACAGCTGGATCCTTAGGTGGCTAAGTTTTATTAAATCCACAGACACACGTAGGTAAGGATAGATCAGCAAACTGGAAAGACAGCCTCATTACTTTTTTTTGTACGCCCTGCTTGTAACGCTACAAGTAGAAAAGCTGACTGCTTGTCCATTCCACCTTCTGCAGGGATCTGCCCTGTTTGAACTATTCTTACAAATGTACGACAAAATAAACGTGATTTCAGTATTACGGCGCAACTCCCCAAGTCCCAGAGCAAAAACAACGGAATACGAATAAGTTTACCCTGCTTAGTCAAGGGTGGCGAACTTTATGAAGAGTTACGACCATAAAAGTTTCTGTGGTCTGAAGTTGCGAATGCCGGTGGTCCGTGGAGAGATCAGTATCGGCACATACAGGACAATTAAAGGAAACATGCGTTTTAGCCACTCTCCGATGTTTTCCGTCTCACTTTGTGCGACACGTACTGTTATCAACTTTCAAAGCACAGTCAAGCTTTGCTATGAAGTCATTTGTTTATTTTGGCGACAAGATCTCAATTACAGCTGTTGCGTGATCTGCTCAAGGGGATACTTTTCACCAGCTGCATAAGCTATGGATGTTCCTTCCATGTTACCCATACTTGATGCTGTTTAGAGAAGGGTATCTGACTGGTAGGTGACACTTCCTGTATTCTGGCACATTCCTCTCTTCTATGTAAAGCTGATCTATGTAACAGCTCTTTTGTGCCGAGAATGTGGAAGACACTACCAGGACCAGAAGAGGTCTTCCCAGTACTTCTATCCGATGGCAATTGGAAAATCAAGTGGGTAGGATAAATTTGTCTTCTTTGCATGTTAAATTATTATTTCCCAAGGTTTCGACCACCACGATAGCCCTTCTTCAAAGTACAGATCATGAAAATCAACTGTTGATCGGGAATGACTACCCCAGGCGGTCCTAGGCTTGTCTGACTTTACGCGGTGCCATCTCAAAATTATAAGGATGACTTTGCAAGATCTCGGCGTGATACAGGATCGTTCAGACTGTGATTGCAACATACTGTGCCGTAGCGAAGAAAAGAAAAACAAAACAAATGAACAGTCACCTAGAAGACAGATAAATAAATGTCATTGCATTCATCCGTGTTTTAAAAAAGGGCATCGAGGTGACCGAAACGTCAGTTAAAATTGATTTATCCATATGTGGTTTTATTTAGTCAAAGGATCAAGGAGTTTTATCAGATGGAGGCCACAGGATAAGTTTCAGGTCTTATATTTTCGTCCAATGCTTTATAAGGTATCTTTCTCTTTTAGTCTCCCCATCAGGAAATTTAATTCGGCTCTAAGATCTTCACATTTAACACCCCAGACTTCTTTCTTTGCAGATTACTAAGTGATACTGTGTATGCAAATAAACCAAGTACTGTAGAATTGCTGAAGGGCATTTTCGAGAGGCTATTCCTTGTGAAACCTAGTAAAAGGTGGTGGAAAATGTAATCAAGAGAGCTCAGCTTGTGTGGCTTCCACTGTCGTGTGTGAGATATGGAAATAGGTGCGTAGGATTACGGCATCGGAAGCGTATACATTATATTGTCCTCAAAAAATAAGATATTCCACCCTCACTCCCTGCAACGCCCAAACCGCGATTTTTAACTCCTACAATTTTTCCTTAAATGTCAAGTTTTGAGCCATATTTGTCTTTTCGATTTTTGCCCTTTACGCTTCGGTCAATACTGAATTTCAAAGACTACAAAGCCGTTTCGTCCTTCGCACTTTCCAAGTTATACATATAGATGTCATATACAGGGTGTTTCAGTTTATTGTTGCATACCTTTAAGATTCTATAGAACTTTTAAAACTAATGCATAAAGTCTATATACACATGGGTCGAAAAATGCGTGGCTTACGAAATACAGGGTGTTTAAATTTACTTTCTAAAATAGTTTTTTTTTTAATATTTCGAACAATATTTGACGTATAACAGTGAAAATTGGTATACAAGGGTTTTTTGGTACGACAAAACGAACCATAGTTCTACTGTAGCCGCTAGAGGGCGCTCTCTACTGTACCTGTAGTGTATTAAAATGACCAAAAAATGTTTCCTAGTGCAATTTTTTGCTTTTTGGATAAAAAAACTGATTCTTCGCACTTTTCAACATGAAAAAGCTCTCTTGTGAATTTTCGTTATACTTATCCGTTTTTGAAATATTTCGATTTTCAAGGTTCGATGCATTTTTAATTATTTATGATAAAATAACGTTAAAAAGTCAGTATCTCGATAATTTTTAGAAGTAGGCTGTTGTTTTTGTAGTTTCTTTTACCTGTTTTTTTTTTGTAAGTTTTATAAAAATGCCGTTTTTATTCTCCAATCAAGAGTTAGCGGATATTCATTTTGTGTATGGCTTTGTAAATGGAAACGCAGCAGAAGCAGCTAGAGAATACGCTCGAAGATTTCCAAACAGACGACATCCAACTCGCTCAGTATTTGTAAGAGTGCATCGCCAAGTAATTGAAAGTGATTTTGGAAATCTCCAAATGGATCAAAACATAAATGATCGTCAGCGCAGATTTACCCGTATGATTCTGCGTGAGTTTGATAGAGATCCGACCACAAGTGTTATGAGAGTTTCTGGTGCCTTGGGATGTTCAGCAGGCCATGTTCACCGTGTTCTTAGAAATGACCATAGAGGTCCTTTTGCAACCTGTGCAAGGACTACAGCCAGGGGACGGAGAACGAAGAATCACATTTTGTCAGTGGATTCTTGATAGAACTGATAATAATAGGGAATTTTTAAGTAACGTTTTATGGACCGATGGGTCATGCTTCACTAGACGTGGAGTGGTAAATTTTCTTAATCAACATATCTGGTCGCATGAAAATCCGCATGCAGTTCGGGAAAGAAATGTTCAGCATGAATTTAGTGTGAACGTGTGGATTTGCCTGGAAGGTTAAATGCTGCGACATTCTTGGAATTTTTAAAGGCTGAACATGCAAATATGTGGGATGATGTTATGTTAGATTTAAGAAGATTGGCCTGGTTCCAGCTTGATGGTTTTCCAGCTCATCATTCGAGAATAGTTAGAAACTGGCTGGACGAAAATTAAACAGAAAGATCGATCGGCCGTGGAGGACCAGTCGCCTGGCCTCCACGATCCCCTGACCTAAATCCATTAGATTTCTTTGTGTGGGGATTTCTAAAAGAAAAAGTGTACCAGACTCCCGTAACCACAAGAGATATGCTAATAGACAGAATCAGGAATGCATGTGATGAAATAAGGCCTTATTTGAATAATGCTATACCACGTTCGATCATTCGTAGATGTGAATTGTGTATTGAACAATTGGGTTTACATTTCAAGCAACTACTTTAGATTTTGTATGTTTGTCCTAACTGTCCAATAGCATTTTAGTTGTAAATAATTAATTTAAGTTAAAAATAATATTGGAAAATTAAACAAATTAATATTCCGTTTTTTGTGTTTATTTGGAGTTAGGAATTATTGCTGTGTTTAAAAACACAATCTAAACGATCATCTTAATTACTTGTAATGCCCAAATCGAAAATGTAAAAAAATATTATTTTCCCATAAATAATTAAAAATGCATCGAACCTTAAAATCGAAATATCTCAAAAACGGCTAATTATAACGAAAACTCACGGGAGAGCTGTTTTATGTTGAAAGTGCGAAGAATCAGTATTTTATTCAAAAAGCAAAAAATTGCACTAAGAAAAAAATTTCGGTTATTTTAATACACTACAGGTACAGTAGGGAGCGCCCTCTAGTGGCTACAGTAAAACTATGCCCATGGTTCGTTTTGTCGTACCAGAAAACCCTTGTATACCAATTTTTACTGTAATACATCAAATATTGTTCGAAATATTTAAAAAAAAACCATTTTAGAAAGTAAATTTAAACACCCTGTATTTCGGAAGCTTCGCATTTTTCGACCCATGTTTATATAGACTTTATGCATTAATTTTAAAAGTTCTATCGAATCTTAAAGTTATGCAACAATAAACTGAAACACCCTGTAGAAGTATCCTTCCCTAAAAAATATTTTCGGTTTTCGCGATTACAATATTTCCTCACCAGTAGGCGTGGGAGGTAAAATTTATTTGTAACACTTCTTTAACACGTTCAGTGCGAACAGCGTCAAAAGACGCCCTCCGCTCCAAAGGTGGGAGGCGAACGGCGTCTTTCGACGCTCTCTGCCGGCTTCCAAAAAAGTATTTCAGTTTCTGAGGTGGGTATCCTCATCCCAGTTCGCAGTCAATGTGTTAAAGTGCGAGATTAGAGAAACAAAGTTAGTCTGGACAACCTGATTATTTCTATGAACGACACAAAGCCCAGTATTCTGCTAAAATTGATATTAATATATTAGCAATCGGTTATTATCATAAAATATTCCTGTAGTGAATATTTCAATTATTGAATTTTTGATTGGAGGGATATTTAACAGTTATTTAACATAATTCAACAAACTGCGTGCACTCTGAAATTGAACACGCTAGACCGATCTGGAAATATTTGCTTACTAATCACATTTTCTACCCGCAAAATTTGTATATTTCACAGAATACAAACTTGTTACAGACAAATGTTTGTTTTTTGTTTCATTATTGCAAAGTGTTGAGTGTTGTGTTGTGACTGTACAGAAATAATGTAAATGTATCTAGAGCCGAAAAGGTATCCAAACAAAGGATTAAAAGTTTCGATAAACATAGCACCCAAAATAAATCCTTTATTACCAAGGTGCAGAGAGCTTAAAATTCCTACGCCGATGATCAGACTCATCAAAGGCAACACATCAACATCATATCATTGCAGGGTGGCGATCGTCATATTTTCACGACTAGATCTAAGACCAATACCCCTCTGACGAGCTGCTAATGAGCACGAAACACAGATCTCCGTAGTTGGTCATGGCTACCGAGGCGGAAGGCATCCTCTCAGCAACAGTCCTAAATATTTGCGTTCATTAGCTGGGATTACTTCATTAACAAACTACATTCATTTTTCATGCCAAACTTCGTTAAATTTAGTGTACTTTCAAAGCAGGGCAGAACTGATTATGGATTACATCTCAAATATTCAATCCAAAAGGAATGACCTGACAATTTGTCCAAGGGAGGCAGTTTATGTAAAAGCAAATACTTTATCTAAAGGGCACGTGTCAATGTAGCGCAGTTTCTATATTAATGGTTAAGTTGGAATGGTATTTGCTATATTTCTAATTGTGCAAATCTTGAAGTCGATACAACCCCCCCTATTAAGGGGTCTTATTGAAATTAGGGAGAATTTTAGGATGTACGTTTAAATCAACTATCCCTGCTATTTTTGGACCTATTCTCTTCCCAAGAAGTGATGCCATTGATTTTAAATTGGGCTTTTCTTCAGCCATCAGCGGTCGCGATTCCACGTAGTGCTCTTTAAAGTTTTTGTAAAAAAAAGCGGGGAAAGTCGTAATTTATAACTTCAGACTGGACAACATATAAATAACCCGTCGATACACCTAATAGGTATACTTCATTGGCAGCATATTCAGTAATAATTTTCTCACACAGCAAATATCACTGATCTTATACACATGCCGACCAACACACATAATCATCCAGATGCGATCTTGCTATTCAACCAACTTTCCTTCTTTCACGTCTCGTAGATAAACACTACAGACTACTCGGCTCCACAAAATATACTAAGTGACATATAAATCCGAACACCCAGTTTAAATGGTTTTATTTTGATAAAATTTTGTATAAGTACTTAATGAAGCATAATAAGTAAATGATAAAAATTTCAAAATGATTGCACTGCTTTAAAGCCCTTTGATCTTTAATAATGTGTGGATGCACCCTGAGGCGCTACGCATTCTCCAACGCACCTAGGCATGCTTCTGATCAGGTGGTCAATGTCCTCCTGTGGTATCTCATTCCAGGCAACCACCAACTCCTCTCGAAGTGCTTCTAGAGTCTGAGGAGGACGTTGCAAATTGAGCAATCTCCTACCCATCATATCCCATACGTGCTCAATTGGGGATAAGTCGGGAGATCTTGGTGGCCATAGTAACAATGTGACATCATTATGTTGAAAGAAGCCTATTGTGACTCTTGCAACATGTGGTCGGGCATTATCTTGTTGGAACGTTGGATCTGCCAGGGTGTCAAGATAGGGTAAAAGATGGGGTTCTACAACTTCGTGGATATAACGCTGCGCGTTCATGTTACCTCTGCTGAAGATTAAAGATGACCTGGAACCATAAGCTATAGCATCCCAAACCATAACTCCAACAGTGTGATGAACATGTCTTTCAACAAAAAACTGTGGATTCCTCCTTTCACCACGTCGCCTTCTAACCCTGGCACGACAATCGTGCATGCCTAAACAAAATCGAGACTCGTCACTAAAGACAATACTGTTCCATTCATGATCCCAGAGTGACCGCTGTCTGCACGACTCAAGGCGATTACGTCGGTGTTCTCGAGTTAAATGGAGGACCCAGTGTGGCCGGTATGAAAACAAGCCAAAACTTCTCATTCGTCGGTAAACACTTCGCATGCCAATAGGTCTTCCGTGTTCTGCAAACCATTCATTTGCAATGGACCTGGTAGTGGAGAAACGGTCCCTTAAGGCCAATAATCTTAGGCGGAGATCTTCACGGTCTGTTGTTCTACGGCGGCGTCCAGTGCCCCTTGCTCTTTGCGTACGGCCTTCTCGTAGCCATGCCTGACAACACCTAACCACAGTGTCTACACTTCTTTGCACACTAACTGCAATTGCCCGAAAAGAAAGTCCAGCTTCCCGAAGTCCCACTATACGGCCCCTAGCAAACTCACTAAGTTGACGAAATCGTACAGGTATCCGTACTCTAGGCATCGTAACCGATCGTAAAGGATGTCAAGAACCAAAATCCGCCAACGTTGATTCTTTACTGCGGCTGAAATATTCATTTTTAGAGCGTTAGTGAATTAATAAAAAGCAGTATAAAAACCGGAATGTCCAACTGATAAGGCTGAACATTTTTTCACTTGTTATTTACAGTAAGATAAATACATTCATCAACTTTTATTAAAATAAAACCATTTAAACTGGGTGTTCGGATTTATATGTTACTTAGTATATATACTTGCTTTCTGCAACCAGCAATACATGTAGTTCAGTTATTCCTCCATAGATGGACGCTTACAGCGATTGTAGCGAGCAGAGGTGGACTGAACTATATGACTCTAAAAGCTACCTTGCCTGCAAGATGACATCCTACTGTTTTTTTTTGACGTTTTACAGGTTTTTTCCGTAAAACGCCAATAATGTCAAACTATCTTCCATGGTGGACGCTGCCACCTATTGGTAGTTCGTGGTCCTGCCAACCACAATGTCGACAGCAAATATCCAGTTCCAGCATCTCTAAATGACAAGCATCGCTCAACATCATAGGTGTGCAGTTAGTCAGAAGAGCACCAAGTGTTCAACATGCTACTTGCTTTGACGTATTACGAAAAAATTGCATAAAGTAGACTTGGGCGGAAAAGGATCATCTCAGCCTCTGTGGTCATGAAAAAATACATACAACGTTGTTTCATGCTTTTTTTGCAATCACCAGCATACACCCACGTAAGAGTATTTCACTAAAGACGGTGCTGCCAAGGATTTCAAATGAGTCGACCGTTTTTCCTCAAAACTCCGTTTGATCTTCTATGACTGTCTTTGTAATAAATAATCTTATCACTGCAGTTAATGAGCGACTTTATGTACTAATTGTAAGCATTAATAAAGTATCTAATTTAAAGTTTAATGCTGTCGCCAGGATAATGACTAAAAATAATTGCTACCATTAACGACTAAATAACTAGGTACCTTTATTATATGTGAACTCAAGACTGTTAGCTAATACATGACACTTTTAATTATCATTATTCTACTTAAACTGCATACCAAGGATGTCATACAAATTACTGTTTGATATTTTTGGCAGGATACTACATTCAGAACCTTCAAGTTATCCATCAACAACTTTTGTTGTTGATAAGGATAAATGTTCAATATAAAGATACTTTGGCAAGTCAAACATGGAAAAGTTATCATCTAACAGCAGATGTTTCATAACTCAGTCTCAATTCCTATATCCTTAAATTATTAGTAAAAGGGAGCTGAGGGAGGGGGGAAGGAGGGAGGATCGGCAACTGAAAATTAAAGAGTGGGGGGGAGGGTATCGGTACCTCAAAATTGATAAACGGAGATACTAGCTGTCTGCAAATTGGGAAACGCGTTTAAAATTTTCTAAATTAAAATACCTTGAAGGATCGGCCCCAGGACACCTCCCCTGGATCCGTCACGTCACTATGCTAGAAAAAAAGGCGGGCTTATATTCATATATTTATTTAACGGTTATGATGATATCCAGTAAGGTACAAATCTATATTACCTTGTAACGAAAGCAGCGTTTTCACCATCCAGACTCCAATTTATTACTCTTACACGAATTTACAACAACACTTGCAAATAGTTTACGACAAATCTATTACCATGCCGACTGGACTATCGCGTCCCACGCTGTCGACTACTCGACTCTGCCATTCTGTCATCCTGGCGCCTATTTATACGTATGTTTAAAAATGGGACAATCCAGAGCCTTTCAGCGATGTCATTCTCGATGATGTCTCAGGTCAAACAGCTCTTTATACACGGTAGCGTAACTGCGGCTGCCTAACCGTCGATATTGCAAGGGCGTCCCATATTTAAGCGAAAACCCAGCGAAATTGAAAAACAATTCAACTAATTGAAATTATTACCTATTACAAGGTTAATACCTTAAACAATAAGTTGGGCATAGGAACAGACATTTTTTACGCTATCTTTAACATGGCGGATTATTAAACCTGACGTTTGCGGTGTATCATTCCAGACTACTTTTCAGAGAGTCTCTGTATCATCCATAGTATCAATTTTTCCTCACTTTTCCAAACTATTGAGAAATACAACCTGACGGCAGGTGGTCAGATACGTTCATGGAGTTCCTCTTTCGAGAGGCCCCAAAATACCCTTCAGCCCTTACCTGGAAAAAACCCTATCTCTGATTTCCAATCAATGATCGCAACATCTGTCTGACACGTTTGTGAGCTCGATTAATAGACTTTTCTGAATTCACCTTGGAATGACTTTGAAACGATGTTCAGGTGCTCTCATAGGGACTAATTGACCACTGATTCAGACTACTCGTAAGTAACCAAAAAAGAAAACAAACGATAAACCTCTAATTCCCCTCATATAGACAGACTGACCTCAGATTCCAAATCAGCGGGCCAAATTCAAATAACTTGAAGGTTCGGCCCCCAGGACACCTCCCCTGGATCCGTC